CGACCCATGCTAGGATTTCGCCCTTGAGCTTCCACCCTCTTATACCAATTGGGATCGGTCCATGCTAGGCTTTCACCCCTGAGCTGCCACCCTTCTATACCAATTGGGATCGGCCCATGCTAGGCATTTCCCCTTGGGCTGCCACCCATAATTATACAGATTGCTTCACTTAGGTTCTTTAATCTTTGAGATTGTTGTTTTGATGTTCATAACTCTTTTGAGATTGTTCTTTTGATGATCATAACTCTTTTGAGATTGTTGTTTTGGTGGTCATAATCATTGTTGAGATTTGGAACTATGGACCAGTAGTAGAAGACATATGAATATGGACTTACGAGAATAACAATGACATGGGAAGAAAATGTGACATGAACGTGTAATACTTAGGAGCTTATATGACTCAGTAAGCATTTTGACAACTCAAATTGAAGCACATATCAAGTGAAGCCATTTAACATTCAGCAAGAGATTTAAACTCTATATGATAGCCAAATACTCGCTAACTAATATCAAATACAAGATATACGTGAATGTGGAACCAAGGGAGAACGTGGGTAGATTCAACTTTAGGACAGATACATATTCCAAGTAAGTACATATAAAATGTACAACAGAGCAAGTAGGGATCTTGTGAGGTAACATTATAGTCTAACACAATGGGAGTAATAACCAATAAAAGAAACATATGAACATGTGAAAAGATGACATATATATAGATAATTGATGCAAGTTGGCATGATATGGGCAAATTGTATATCCAACATATAAACATATGTACCATGTGTAATCTAGGATCATTTTGATTTATATAAGGGAAATATGTGCCAAGGGTACTTTGATGATGAAACAAGTTTAAACCTTGCATGCTAATACTTGGTAGAGTAAGCACGTACATTTAGTAATAAACTCATATTAGAGTACTCACTTTACTGCTCTAGGGAGTAGGAACTGCAACTATGGATCAGTCACTACCAAGGGCACTTAGAAAGCTTACTTTTTGTAATGCAAGTGTTGGGTTCATGCCAAAGAAATAGGAAATCGAATAGACTTACATACCTTGCTATACAATTCAATATGTATGACTTAAGCTCTTTCTCTTCAGATTACTAATCTATAGTAAAATAAGTTGTAAGACTAGTATTAGTAGTTAATCAATCAATTTGACCTACTTGATCCCACCCAAATAGTAACCAAGCAGTAAGTATGCAATTTATCTAGCCAATGTTTTCTTTCCTTCCCTTTCCCTTTAATCGCATCTATATATTGTACAACCTTCATATTAGGTCCTCCCCAAAACTCCCTGCAATATATAAGTCCTTTAACATCTACATAACTTTCCCGCACATCCAATCACATCCCTTATCATAACATACATAAAACAATCCTTAAACATAATAATGTAACAGAAGCAATATGAATCATGGTTTCTGATCACCAACACTTGAAGAGCTAACATTACTTTTAAAAGTGCTCAAACAAGCTCATAACTGAATTTAAAGAGGACTCCCCTCCATGGCTGTCCCAACATGCACTAATCACCAAAACATCCTCCCTAATATTACACCATGTAAAAGTAACAATTTCTAACTCACTAACACATACCAAGTGTCCTAATTTACTCAAGCACAAGAGGGAGAAAATTGCAGTAGCTTACCTTGCTGGATAGAACAACCACTTGCTAAGACTTGGATTCTTCAAGGTAAAGGTTGTCCTCCTCAACTTGTCTTAAATTATACCTTCCAATAGCTTGAACTCCCTAATGTTCAAGAACCCTAATGGTATTTAATGGTTGTTGTATGAAGCTAAGAAAGAGAAGAGAGAAAGCTCTAGAAATCAGATTTTTTTGTCAAAGTAAAAATGGTTGGAAAAGGCTGATATCTATCCCTTTTAAAGGGACCTGCTTTGGCCAACTTTCTCACTCATTTGGGCCATAATTTGTCAAGTAGGTGACCCACCTACTTGGACTTTTCACTTGGGCCTTTTTGGTCTTAAGAACATTGGGCCTTTTACCACCTTTCTTGTACTTCATTTGCAGCCAACATGTGTCTTTAATTTAGGCAACACATTTAAGTAGGTGATGCACCTACTTTTCCATTCAAATTATTTCTTGTGGGCTTGGAAAGATTGGGCCTTGGCTATCCATTTTCCCCTTATTCTTCTAATCAACTAGGGCCAGATTGATGCAAGTAGATGGTAGTGCACTTGGCCCAATAACATGGTCAAAAGAGTCTTGGTAGGTGATGCACCTACTTGATCCTTTGGGCTGGTCAATAAGTCAAAGTAGGTGATGCACCTACTTGTCACCTACTAAGCTTAGTGTAGTCAATCAAGCACCTCAATATCTTATTCCATTTCTAGACCTTTAATACCCTTTTAATTTTAACTTAAAACTTATATACACTATGTCAATTTAAACTTTAGACTCAAATACCACCTTATGATCTCAAGTTTAAATACTTCCATCGACGTCAACTTAATCGGGTCGCATCAAAATCTATGGGCAGTTCACTTTAAACCTATTCTATTGTCACTAGTCGCATAGGAAACCGAGTCCATAACTATACCACACGGCAATTTATAAGCGTCATATAAATAGAACTAGTACACGTAGAATACGGGGTGTTACATGTTGGTATTAGTCAGATATTATTATTTATTATTACTATATATGGATGAATAATATTGAGACTTTTGGGAGAAAACGCCATAAATAGTCCCTAAACTATTGGAGTAGGTCCAAAATAATCCTTTAATTATACATTATCGGATATAATTATCAAGTTAGGTCTTTAATTATATACTTACAATTTTTAGTTCTTTTAGTCCTTTAAATATTTAAAAACTTATCAAGTTTGATCTCTGCCAATTGTTTTTATACAAATAGCTTAGATTTACATTTACGAAACTCATACCTCTATGAAATTAAAATTTTAACCTATATTTTCATTTGTTTGTCTCTCCCTGCTACTTTATTTTGTCAAATTACTCTTATGTAAAGAACCTTAACCTCAAAAATTCAAAATAAAATTAATGAGGAAAGAAGATTAAATCTTAATTTTATTCGATTCATGTAAAATAAAGTATATTATTGTTGCTAATGACTTGAATATGCTAGAACTTATTATAAGTCGAAAAAAGGTATTACCCCTTAAGTGTGAGGAGCAATTTATTTATATTTAATAGAAATAATTTTATTTTTGTAATGAAAAAAAATTAAAAGTTCTTTACTCACATGTTTTGATTTCAAAATTTGTACTCCGATGACTTTATTGAAGATGACTTGTTTAATTTTTTAAAAGTTGAAATTTAGAAAATGGTAGATTTGTAAAAAAAATTTAATTTTTTAAATTTTGAAATAGATCGAATTTATTATTCTGTTCGTTATATTTTATGTAGAGAAATTTGAATAATAAGATTAAATCTCATATATTTTTTAGTATGAAAAATAAAAATTTTAAAAATCACACTAATTATGAATCGTTAACCGTGAAAGAAGGGAACATAGCATATTCCACTCGTAAGTAACAATAATATGCTTCATTTTATCCTCCATTAAATAAAATAAGGACTTAATCCTCTTTCATCATTAATTTTATTTTAAATCATTAAGATTAATGTTCTTTTCATAAAAGTAATTTGAAAAGAAAAATAGTGAGAAGAGAGGAATAACTAGAAAAATGAGTTAAGAATTTAATTTTAACGATACATGAGTACTGCTAATATAAACACAAACTATTATATAAAAAAAAATAGACAGAGACAAAATCTAATATTTTGATTTTTGAATACTTAAAGGACTAAAATTTATAAGTGTAGAGTTAAGGAACTAAAAGTTTATGGTTAAGTAGGAGTGGACGTTCGGTTCGGTTTAATCAAATTTCGATTTGGTTCTTTGGTATTTGGTTTTAGAAAAGTGTGCACCATATTTCAAACCAAACTAGATCGGTTCGGTTCGATTTTTTCTACTTCGATTCGGTGTTTTTAAATCGATTTTTCGGTGTGAATAAAAATAAAGAGGGAATATGATAAAGTAACAATTGTTGTTCACTTCACACTTCAAACTTCAAAGTAACAACTAACAGTCTAACAATAAAAGTAATAACATCAAAATAGTTTTGTTTAGGCTGGGTGCCCTTTACTGCTTTGAAGTGTAAATGATAAAGTGTGCCCTTTACTGTTTTGTTTAGGCTCCAAAATTTAAAAATTGAAATGGGTCAGGTAAAGTTAAAAATTGAAATGAGCCAGGTAAATATTTTGAGTCAAAATATATATGGGTAAATTTTAGGAATCACATAGTTTTAATATGAAATTACAATCTATCCTTCTTTAGCTTGTAATTACATTAATCCCTTAAAAAGTAACACAAATCGGATACATAATATGTAGCTCAGATACATTAAAGAGTATCTCGGATACATTATAACATAAACCGAATACATTAAAAACTAGCTCTGATACATTAAAAACTAGTTTGGATACATTATAAAATAAACCAGATACATAATATATAGCTCGGATACATTAAATACTGGCTCAGATACATTAATATGTAACTCGGATACATTAAAGAAATAAGGAATTTTAGAGGTTTTTAGAAATAGAAGGGGATATTGGAAATAAGGGAAACATAAGACGTGTATTTCAGTAATTTTTCCAAATATATAAGTATTATTAAATAATATAATTTAAATATTTTTAAATTTATTTAGTAAAACTTCGGTTCTTCGGTGCACCGTAGTTTCGGACCCTTACACCAAACTCCGAACTGAAGAACCGAAGTTCGGAAAAAAAATAACCGACACCAAATTGAAACACCGAAGAACCGATACTGAAGAACCGAAATAGTTCGATTTGGTTCAGTTTTTCGGTTTTCCGGTATTTATGTCCACCCTTATGGTTAAGGACTAAAATTTTGACAATATTTTTAAATAATTAAAATACTAAATTCGATAAATATATAATTAAGGACTATTTTAGACATACTGAGAACCATACATGGCTTTTCTAAACTTTGGGAGTTTGGTTCCTTGTATACACTCGGAATCTATCTGAGTATCTGTAGTTGTGAGTTTTCATCGAAATATCGAAGCAAGAAATTGTGATTTTCGATTGTGGATTAAGGAATTTTGTTCTCGAATTGATATGAATTGGAATAATTGGAGGGCCGTTCAGGCTGAGGCTCAGGGAGGCGGTGAAGGTAGCGAAACGGCTGCCGGAGCTATGGATTCCGGTGATTTGCGTCAAAGGATTGACAACATGATGTAAGTTTTTTTATTTTTGGTTTTGTGACTAGTTCTTTAATTTGTTAAAGGATTTTGAATTTTGAATTTTAGGGTTTTTTTTGTGTTTCTTTGGTTTTCTGAAGAAATCCCACTCCGTTAGAAGTATTGATTAATCAATCTGATACATGGTTTTTCAGTTTCTTTCTGTTTTATGGGAACTCAGTTTATCAGGTGAATTTGGGGGTTTCTTTGTTACTGGTACTGAGTGAGTTAATTGGAAGTTTATGCCCTAGATATTTCCAATTTTGGTAATCAGTCAAGGGGGTAATGTATGTGTACACTCTGACTCCACTCGTGGGGTTACACTTGTGGGATTATACTAGGTATGTTGTTGTTGGTGGGGTGCTGTGGTGGTAATCAGTCAAGGGACTAGTTCAAGTGGGAAAACCTAGTTTTACTCACTGTGATTTATGTTTTGTTTTAGATATGTTGAAATGGTAGGTTGATGTTCGATATAGTTGGATTATAACTACTGATATTTGTTTGGAGGAAATAAGTCTTAATCTTTTGCAGCAGGGTAACTGTTATGTCGAATTATTTTTAATATATTTGAGAAGCATTTATCTAGATTGTGATCTTATCAACACTTTGTTCTTGATATGTCGATATGTTGAAATGGTAGGTTGATGTTCGATATAGTTGCATTTAGCTAATTGGATTATAACTACTAATATTTGTTTAGAGGAAACAAGTTTTAGTATTTTGTAGCAGGGGTGTGATGTCGAGTTATTTTTAATATATTTGAGAAGTATTTATCTAGATTGTGCTCCTATCAAGAGTTTATGGTGACCTTTTTTTGATATGGTTGTATAGAATGGAGACCTTAAAGAGGCATGTTTCTGTCTCTGGGCAAGAAAGAGTACAGGAGCTTAAGGAAATTGCTGTGACGTTTGAAGAAAAGATATATTCTACTGCTACAAGTCAGGTATGTAGTCTAAACTTGTTTCTATTTGTTCGAATTGTAAAGCTAGCTCATGAGGGCGGGGGTAATTTCCAAGACCTTATAAGGGAACCATCCCTCCCTTTTTCATCTGATGTGGGACTCTTGATTAATTTTGTTCTCCTTGAAACCACCCATCCCTTTTTTATCCGATGTGGGATTCTTCAACATGAATGATGCAATTTGTTCTCCACTTCATTGATGTTATTTCTGCTTGTATAAACTTGCATTCGTCTTTCCCGTCATCTAGACGCATTGTATTAGGGATGGCAAGCAGAGCAGTACGGTGCGCTTGCGGGCCAAACCTGCAAAGATTTCAATCCCCCGCCCATATCATTATGTTTATGTAGAATTTCACACTTTTAAACGAACACATTAGTCACTATTTTAGCATTTTTACTAAGACATTGTTGTCATTAAAAAAATAAAAAATTGGATGCACTTATATTTGCTCTCATCAATGTTCTTATAACTGGGAAATGGAAGAGTGTGATACTATATGTTAGTTCATCTTAAGGATGAGATCAGTAAATTTTATTAATTGATAATTTATTTATGTAAAATACCTATTACGTGATGATAAGACCAAAAAAACAGGGTTAATTTTGCATATTGACAGATTTTTCTCACGTGTAAATATTATAGTATCATATTAATTATAACTCCCCAAGAGTACTCACTATATATTTGTCAACACAAAATGGAAATAGTTAAGTTATATGGAATTAAATTAAATAATTTCATATTTGAGTAACCAACATAGATTCACAGTCTACTTTTTACACTAATTTTTGGAACTGACCACTGCATATACTCTATCCTCCCCAAATTCAGTATGTTGTTGTTTGCATCCCTAAGGAAGTTTATTATTAAGAACTTAATTTATTTATTTTCTTGTTTAAACTGCTGTTTTGAGATGTTTTACTTAATCTGAAGGTCTGCAACTCTGCGAACACTATACCCTCCCTAGACCCACTTGTGGGGTTACACTTGCTATGTTGTTGTTTAAACCTGCTGCATACTTCTGCAACCCCCTCCCCCCCCCCCCCCCAATTGCACTGCATCAGTTTTGTAAAAAAATTTGAACCCGCCCTGCATTGCCTAACCCTGTTTGCCAACACTATGTTGTATGTATTTTAACTTATATTTATCTAATATTGCAGCATGATTATCTTCAAAAGATATCTTCATAGATGTTGATCGTGGAGACAAGAAGATCTCAAAATCTTATTCAGCCAAATCCTGCAAGTAGTGGTCAGAATGCCCTTGGTCGAGGTGAACAATGAAATCTCATGTGCTGTATTTCTAATAGGGAAATCTTTTCTGACAGGACGTTTTGTATAAACCTAATTACTTCGTTCTGCTGTTGAAAAATTTGCTCTCTGTAGCTACTAAGTGTACAGGAAATTTTAGATGCTTGAACCATTGTGCTGATCTTTGAGTGATCTAAAATAATTTAGGTGACTACCCCTAGTAAGTATTGTTTGTGCTCTAGATCAGAGTCCTGGCCCTGCTCTTTCTCTACATTCTGACTATTCTTTTCTAATTAGCTAAACCAAAATAAGGGACAGAAGAAAAGCTTATGATTTACAGTACAACATACTGTTGTTTATTTGTCTAATAATAAGTAACTTAGTCAAAGTTCTCTTTTGTATTTTCGAATCAGCTTTCACAAAGCAATGACTTCTATTTCTTGTATCTTAAACTACAAAATACGTGTTTACTTTTGCTGCTTCTTTGTATTTTCTTCTAATGTTATTATTGTTAGAATAGGAATAGGAATAGGAATAGTTATTAGTATCTTGTATTGTAGTGTATATAAATAGTGTCTCTATGTAATAATATAGATACATAATTCAATAATATTCTTCTCCTATATTTCTCACATAATCCAAGCACATTGAGATTGAATTGAAATTATGCATCAAATCCAGCATTTCATGAGAAGACAAGAACATTGATATTGGTGAAGTTGACTAATGAACTTGCAGATATCTCACGAACCCTCATCGGTCCTCGTGTTGTTTACATTTGTAGCAGGCTAGGTACATGACTTGTATGCACTAGCTTGAGGGGAGTGTTAGAATAAGAATAGGTTTATACAATCCTCTTTAAAATAAGAATAGGAATAGTAATAGAAATAGGAATAGTATCCTACTTGATAAAGGATTGTATTGTAGTGTCTATAAATAGAGTCACTATGTAATTATGTAGATACATAATTCAGTAATATTCTTCTCCTATATTTCTCACAATTATGTTTGCTAGTTATTTCATAGCATCTTGACTGGTTTCTTTTTGATTCATTTCTGTAGGATCACACAACATGCAATCCCAAGTCAACAGCCAAGCACTTCCTGTACCTATGGTGGCCAATCAAACTCAAACACGACAACCACTGTTGCAGCAAAACCTTCAGAACAACATGGCATCAACTGGGCTGCAAAATTCTGCTAGCTTGGCTCCTGCACTTCCTTCTGTGAGTAATTTGACTCAGGGTACCATTCCAAATGTCGTGGGCCAGAATTCAAATTTGCAAACCATGCCAAATGTTGGTCAAAACTCAGTAGGAAATGCCATTGGTCAAAACTCAGTAGTAATTAGGGTTTGTATAAACCTAATTACTTTATTCTGCTGTTGAAAAGTTTGCTCTCTGTAGCTACTAAGGGGCCGTTTGGTAGAGTGTATTAACAAAAATAATGCATGCATTAGCTATATGTATTAGTAGTACCTTGTTTGGTGCATTTTTTCATGCTATGTATGACTAATGCTTGCATTAGTTATACACTCTATTGTGTATTGAAGAGTGTATTATTAATACCATGGATTTCTAGGTATTAGTAATGCAAAGAATTTAATACATGCATTAGCACGGTTAAAGACCCAATTACCCCTTAAAAGCACTTTTACATCTTTTCCACCATAATTGTGAAGGACACTTTTGTAAATAAATATTTTTATACAATGCATATTATTTTTAATAAACCAAACCAAACAATGCATAAGAAATAGTCTATGCATAACTAATGCAAGTATAACTAATACATGCATTACTAATATACTCTATTGAGCATTATTTTTATACACTCTACCAAACGACCCCAAGTGTACATGAAATTTTAGATGCTTGAACCATTGTGCTAATCTTTGAGTGATCTGAAATAATTTAGGTGACTACCCCTAATAAGTATTATTTGTGCTCTAGGTCAGAGTCCTATCCCTGCTCTTTCTCTACCTTCTGACTATTCTTTTCTTATTAGCTATCCAATATAAAGGACAGAAGAAAAGCTTATGATTTACAGTAACTTAGTCAAAGTTATCTTCTTTTTTGAGATAATATTTTTTTTTTTGAGATCATAATCAAAGTTATCTTTTGTTGAGGAGAGAAGTCTCAAAATAGTCTATTATCTTTGGACTAGGCTGAAATGATTCTATTTCTTTTGTATGGAGCACTAATAGTTCCTATTCTTTGATAAAGGAGTGAACTTTTAGTCCCAACTTTAAAACCGTTTATCTTTTAACAGGGACAAAACCTACCTGCTGTGGATGAAAGCAAGAATGTTGCAAATGTGCCTGAAATTTTCAATGAAGCTAGTCCCAATTAATGAGGTAAAATGTGTAGAATTTTAAGTGAAGTAATTTACAAGTACATTTTTGGAGGTCTCAAGTTCAAAACCCCTTGCCAGCGAAAGCAAGGGGTTTGCTTTCTGGGTCGAGCTCGTTGCACCAGGCTTGCCTAGTGCGGGTTACCTCTCTTATGTGGTTTGCGAGCTATTGCATAGGAGCGGGGGTTTTACTCTGTGCGCACCCAAAGGGTAGCGGCTGTGGGTTTCCCTTGTCATCAAAAAAATAAATTTACGAGTACATTTTTGTTCTTGTTCTTTCTTTATAGATCTGTTCTTTCAAATGGCTTCAACTGAAAGAGAGAACAAGAACTTGGCAACCATGGCAAGCTCTTGTCCATGGACTTTAGATACTGGATTCAATCCCAAATGTGAAATGAAAAGGATGAAATATTGTAAGTCGGGGAATGGGTCTTAAAATAGTTATTTTATATACACCGTCAGTTTCTACTTGCTTGAGTAAATTACATCAAACAATGAGAATGTCCAATATTTACGCTAATATTCATGGAAAGATAGTCTTATTAATCATTTGCAGATCTTAGGTTTGATATTCGAACTACTAAATGTTTATGCCAAGAACAACACGCCTATATACTAAAAATTGTAATGATGTCAATTTTATTGGGCATGTATAAAGTTCAAGGGGCATGCATCCTGCAACTAATCCATGCATAAATTTACAGTGGCATGCATACATATTAATTATATGGGAGATTATATCGCAACCAGCTCAATTTACAACTTTTGACTTGTACTAGCTATCACCTGGACAAGAGAATCATTTTTATAAAAAGCTAACAAACTGGTCAATAGAATATCTACCCATCTAACAACAAGTGTTGCTGGTATAGTGAACTTCGAAACATTCAGCGAGAAATATTTATACATACCAAGTAATTGTAATTGAGAAACCAATAGTCCTCAACTTGTTATGGAAGAGTAGGAAGACCGTGTTTATAAACATCTAAAGTCCAAAGACTGAAGAAACGTAATACTATAAAAAGTTCTCTAGGCAATCTAAACAAAATGTTTCTATCTTCCTTCATTACACAACAAGCCTTGCTGGTATAATGAACTTCGAAACATTCCGCTAGATATATATTTACATACTAAGTAATTGTAGTTGAGAAACCAATAGTCCTCAACTTGTTATGGAAGAGTAGGAAGACCATGTTTATAAACATCTAAAGTCCAAAGACTGAAGAAACGTAATACTATAAAAAGTTCTCTAGGCAATCTAAACAAAATGTTTCTATCTTCCTTCATTACACAACAAGCCTTGCTGGTATAATGAACTTCGAAACATTCCGCTAGAAATATATTTACATACTAAGTAATTATAGTTGAGAAATCAATAGTCCTCAACTTGTTATGGAAGACTAGGAAGACCATGTTTATAAACATCTAAAGTCCAAAGACTGAAGAAACGTAATACTATAAAAAGTTCTCTAGGCAATCTAAACAAAATGTTTCTATCTTCCTTCATTACACAACAAGCCTTGCTGGTATAATGAACTTCGAAACATTCCGCTAGAAATATATTTACATACTAAGTAATTGTAGTTGAGAAACCAATAGTCCTCAACTTGTTATGGAAGACTAGGAAGACCATGTTTATAAACATCTAAAGTCCAAAGACTGAAGAAACGTAATACTATAAAAAGTTCTCTAGGCAATCTAAACAAAATGTTTCTATCTTCCTTCATTACACAACAAGCCTTGCTGGTATAATGAACTTCGAAACATTCCGCTAGAAATATATTTACATACTAAGTAATTGTAGTTGAGAAACCAATAGTCCTCAACTTGTTATGGAAGACTAGGAAGACCATGTTTATAAACATCTAAAGTCCAAAGACTGAAGAAACGTAATACTATAAAAAGTTCTCTAGGCAATCTAAACAAAATGTTTCTATCTTCCTTCATTACACAACAAGCCTTGCTGGTATAATGAACTTCGAAACATTCCGCTAGAAATATATTTACATACTAAGTAATTATAGTTGAGAAATCAATAGTCCTCAACTTGTTATGGAAGACTAGGAAGACCATGTTTATAAACATCTAAAGTCCAAAGACTGAAGAAACGTTATACTATAAAAAGTTCTCAAGGCAATCTAAAGAAAACGTTTCTATCTTCCTTCATTACACAACAAACCTTGTTGGTGTAATGAACTTCGAAACATTCAGCTAGAAATATATTTACATACTAAGTAACTGTAGTTGAGAAACCAATAGTCCTCAACTTGTTATGGAAGACTAGGAAGACCATGTTTATAAACATCTAAAGTCCAAAGACTTTGAAGTCATGATACTATAAAAAGTTCTCTAGGCAATTTAAACAAAACATTTCTATCTTCCTTCATTACATAGCTCTTGGAGAAGTTCACTAAGACTTATCTGGTTGAAAATCCATGAGCAGATCATGTGGAAGAAAACGATTCAAGTGAAGATCGAGAATAGCAAAAGATACAAACAAGATTACTGTATATCTTTAGTTCTACATGTATATGTTTTGCTACAGGTGGTCTAAATTGAGAGGAAAGAGAAGAACGAAGGTTAGAGATTAGGAGAAACACGTGAGAGGGTTATGATTGTTAAAAAGTTTCACAATGGTTAGGATTATGACCGAAAGTCCACCACTTTAACAAAGAATAAGGATTATTAGTGCCCCTGGAAAAGAAATAGGGTCATTTTAAGCCTAGGTCTAAAGATAGTTAACTATTTTGATCCTTTTCTTGCATGTTGAGAAATAGTTGAGGAGAGATTAGAGAAAATTGAGGCGCTTATTTAAGAAAGGTGGAGACATTTTTGGCTATTAACAAAAAAATGACTTATTCGGTGTTTCTGGGGCATTAGACGTCCAGCTAAGTATGTGAACTCCCTCATGGACAGGCTACGGTCGACCAAAGAGGAAACAAATTATTTTGGTACTTATCCTAATTTTGATGCGACAATTGTTTATGTTAGTCAATTACAGTGATCAGGGACTAGTTTTTGATGAAATTGAAGAAACCCCAAAATTCAAGAATCAAACTTCAAAATTAATCTGATTGTGCTTCAATAAATAGTGCTTCGTGGATTTGTTATACTTCAAAAAATAATATCTTCATTGAACAAACAAGAGAATCAAAAATATAATCCGACTTTTGACAGATAAAAATTGTTTGTTAAATCTATAAAGTTTCCTTCATTTTCAACACTACATGAACATTACAATGTATTATTTTCATGCATCCTCACAAAACTTCAATGGTGATAGATGAAGTGTTTAGGGAAGCGAGCGTTGGTTTATGTCATCAACATAAACAACAGGTACAACAAATGCCGATGTTGTTTTCTTTTAAAAAACACAAAAGCAAGGAAAGTCACTATTGTATTCTTCGTCAAGGAATATTCATTAAGGTGATTAAGTCATTTCCTCTGATTTTCTCAATATAAGGACAATGAACAAATTTATTGAAACTTGTAAGTACTTAAAGCATTTTGAATCTTCAAGAATTTTCATATAAATTTTGTCTAGTGACAATATCCTGCATTCAATTGGTGACATCCTTTGATGCCCAAACTGTTGGTCCAATTAGCTTACACTTATTAAGATGCATGATGCATCATTTCACTTGATAATCATTTCTAATTTTGTCAATTGACAATATCTAGTATTAAATGCATGACAGCCTCTGATGGATGCATGGGTTGTTGGTCCAATAAGCTTACACTTATCAAGATGCATGATGCATCATTTCATTTGATAAGCATTTCTACGTCAGTATGCTTGAATAGATGTAGAATTCAGATTGTCACAATTTTTTACAATATTGTGCGCTATATTGTATCAAATATATCGTTGATGAGCCATCATTTTGTATCAATTCACAATGCGACATAACTTACTAAGATCTCATCACATTATTATTTACAGGTACCTTAAGCTCTCGTGAGGTTTCATAAGTCGTAGGCTCTTCAAGAGCACATTGTCTCCTTATTATGATCATTTTCCCCCTTTTCTAAGGATAATTGGAACCGACTTATTTACCATGCTTTATGCATGCCGTAGACTTTGTCCTTCTGGGACATTCTGAAATATGAGTTAATTTTAGGTCAGCTAATGATTCTAGCATTTGACTTGAATTATCTTTCGAATGAGTATTGTACGGATGAGGTACTTGAAGCTCTCATAAGTCGTAGGCTCTTCAAGAGCATGTTGCCTCTTTATTATGATCTCTTTTTTTTTCCTATTTAAGGATTATTGCAATTGGAATCGATTGGTTTACCATGCTTTATGCATGTCGTGAACTCGGTTCTTCCGGGACATTTTAAAAGAGCATTTGCAACTGAAATATGAAATTAATTTTGGGTCAGCAAATGCTTCTAGCATTTGACTTGAATTATCTTTTGAGTGAGTATCCTTGTATCCTCTATGACCAACCTCTGGCACCTTTTCATTGACACGTCTATTCAACTCCCCTTTACATGTCCAAATCATCTCAGCACCATAGAGGCCAGTCCCACCTTCATCCAAATATCTTCATATATCGCACTCTAAAACCTATTAGATGGAAATATTTGGTACCTGATCTTGAATCAATTGAAAAAGGGTAATTAGTCATAAATTGTTGGTCTGATGCATAGAAGTGTTGTTGAATACAATATGTCATACCATTGACCAACACCCAAAGTTTTGTTCTCATAAGCAGTGGTTCAGGTATTTATTGAAGGTATTCAATATCAAATTAGCTTGGATATAGATCTGCATTATCACGATGAATTGTCTTGATTACACAATCTAAAAACTATGTTGTTAACTCAAGCAAAGAACTTTGTGAATGTCAAACTGCATATTTACAATAAATGCACATGTGGTCATCTTATAGATGCATCTATTTAAGATATCACATGATAGGTGAACATGCCGATACTGACCTTTTAAATTTTTCAGGTTTTAGTGGATTCAATTCAAATATTAATTGGTCTAATCAACTT